TCAGCACATTAGTGTAGGGAGGTTAAGGGGTGGGCTGGGTGATGAGGGGGCACACAGTACCACCCACTGACCACTCCTGGAGGTGGCCGACTGTTACGGCTGGGTCGAAGGGCGGCGCATGGTGGAAAAAGATGAACAGCGGTGATAGTAAAACGCAAGACTCTTCTCTCTTCTCACGTGTGCATTCCTAGCTCATGTAGATGTTGAGTGTATCTCCTCTCATGTTCATGGATTAGGTTGGGAGACAAAGGGAATTCAGGGTGTGCGTGGGTAGTGGAGCCTGCTTGCAAAATCAAACGCCGTTATGCCTTCATTGACACTCTGCTCCCCTCGAAAGAGAACGCTTGAACGCTAATATGCTCCCCTGGAAAGAGGACGCTAGTGTGTTCAAGTCAATCTGTCGATGGGTCCTCGCGAAACACGCTTTCCAACACATAGAAGTAGGCAACGTCGTAGATCACGCAAAAGAGAGCACTGAGTTCGCAACACAAAGACATCAACAACCTTGTGTAGATTTGTCTGAACTCTAAACTCAAAAACCGCAACAGTGTTTACTTGCTTAATGCATTAGGCCGAATCAAAAGGTGTCACAAATATATATAAAATAATGTTTCAAACGGCAACTAATCCACACAATCAGTCATGTCATGTACTACACAGATTTACACCCTGCTTTGATGTCATTACTCCTTGCATCGGGTCTTGATTGTTGATTTGCCAAAGTACAGTGTTTTCTTAAAAAAAAGATACAGATAATACTGAATTTGATACGCTAATATGCTTCCCGACTGAGTGATCTATTTTTGCTGCAAACATGTATGGCGATATGCTTTCCAAAACTATTATACATGATCCTACAAGGTAGCACAAGGAACCATATGAGCTCCATAGGTAGCTAAAGCATGACCCACCCAATTGCGGACATGCTTACATTGTAGGATCTTAAAATCAATAAAGCTAATGAACATGAAGAATTTCACCTCCATGGCACGACACGTCATGTTCATTGGATTGGAGAGTAACCATGAGTACCAGGGCCGTCGGTGGGCCTAGCAGCTGGAGCTGTGGCTGCCCGGACCTAGAAGGCGTCAGGGGCGCGGCGATCGCCGGGGCTGGGCACTGTGGCCAGTGGGGGGCGACGGCGGGCGGCGGCTGACCGGGCCAGTGGTAGTGTAGAGGCCTGATCGACGTGGTGGTGGTCGCGTACCAGGGCAGCGCAGCCGGACCGGTCATGGCGGCCGCCCGTAAGGCCCGGCGAGGTAGAGGTGGATACCCTGGACGGCGGTCATGAGGCCATTAAGGACTCATGTGATCTCCGTCGGGGGGTAGACGGCGGCCTGCGGTGCGGGGAGGGGCGGCGACTCGCCGGTGGAGGCCCCTGAGGTGGGTTTGACCGGCGCGGTGGAGAGCAGAAGCTGCGCGGTGAAGAGCGGCGCGGTGGCGAGGGTGGCGGCGGTGGACAGCGGCGCAGTGGCGAGCGGCGGGGTGGGAGGTGGAGCAGACATGATCGGACCCAAGCCGCCTGATACCAA